GACGGTCTGCAGCCACCGGGTCCTAAACACAGCCGGCTCAACTCCTCTGCACGTACTGAGCTGCCTTTGACACACAAACTGGGATTAAAGACAATAAGGTTAGATAAAATAGAATGCTTTCTTGATTTTCCGTAAACATGTGCTTTTTAGGCATGTAGGAAAGCACATTTGGGTCACTAAAAATAAAAAAAGGAGTCCAAAGGAGAGATAAACATTACACCCAGAAAGGACAATGTGAAGAGATATTTGGTAATACAGCATATTAATGGGCAGAGGAGGAAACAAGAAAGACATGTGAGATTAAAGCAGCGGTGGCCCTAAGGGGTGGTCAGAGGTGGCCATGGCCCTCCAAGAAAATTACTGCCCCCCACAGGGAAGATCTCCAGCTTTTCCTGGAGCGGTTTGCAGTCGAGTGTGAAACGGCTGGGATGAGAATCAACTCCGCTAAATCTGAGATTGTGGTCTTGAGTGGGAAAAGAATAGAATACCTTCTCCAGGTCAGGGATGAGGTCCTGCCCCTGTCTTGTCCTGTCTCGTGTCCATGTTATCCAACGTCCTGTGCCCGTTCCACATCCCGTCTCCCTAGTCCATTCCATGTGTTCTCCCTCATCTGGGTTTCCTTGTTTCCTGTTTCTTAGATTCATTCATTCATTCATCCCAAGCCTCAGTCACCTTTAGCCACTTATCTACCCCAGTCCTGATAGATTTCTTATTTAGTTGTGTATTTTCTTCAGTCATTCCCTCTTCATGGTTTAGGTTATTCTCCCATGAATCTAGTTTAGTTGTACTTATGTTTTCTATTTTTGAGTTCTGTTCCCTTGGTCCAGTTCTGTTTAACTTAGTCATCCATTAGTGTCTTCTTTCAGCATTTAATTCTAGTCTAGTCTAAAGACCAAAGGTGACAGATCATTTGCTGCTGTGGCCCACAGACTCTGGAACTCTCTCTCCCTGAGCCTGAGATCAGTGGACTCAGTGAACTCCTTTAAAAAGCAGCTGAAGACTCACTTGTTCAAGCTGGCTTTTGTATGACCTTCTTCACCACTCTCTCTTTATTCTGCTCTCCCCACCTATTCCACCTTCCTCAGGATCCACTGATTTCCCTCTTTCCTATTCACTCTCTCTCTTTCTTAACATTTTTTAAATCACAATTTTCTATTTCTGCTCATTTTAATATATTTTTAAACATTTTTTGAATGCTTTTTTATATTTTTTTATTTTTTGTTTTTGTGAAGCGCCTCGTGATTTTTATCTTGAGAGGTGCTATAGAAATTATATTTTCTTCTTTCTTCTTCTTCTAGTGTCTTATGTTTCTGAATCTTATAGTGTTATCTGGTTCAGTCCTCTTGTGTTTTTGCATTGCCTCCCATCCCTTCTTCTTACCAGTCACACCTGTTGGTCATTCTCATCAGTAATCAGTGCACCTGCTCCCTTTGTCTTCACTCACCCTCTCAGCAGTATAAACCCAGTCCTGTTCATATCTCTTGGTCGGTTCCTTGTGTTTATGTTTGTTTGCATCCCTGTGTTTGTTTTTTTGCTCCTCATGTTTTTGTCAGCTTGTTCCACCAAAACTTTATAATAAACTTTTGGAATTTTAACCTACCTGGCTGCCTACCTGCGTTTCGGGTCCTATACAACCTCCAATTCCTAACAGCCCCAAGTGGAGGAGTTTAAGAAGCTTGGGGTCTTGTTCACGAGTGAGGGAAAGATGGAGCGTGAGATCGACAGGCAGATTGGTCTACGTCTGCAGTGATGCGGGCGTTGTACCGATCTGTCGTGGTGAAGAGTGAGCTGAGCTGGTAGGTAAAGCTCTCAATTTACCAGTCGATCTACGTTCCTACCCTCACCTATGGTTACGAGCTTTGGGTAGTGACAGAAAGAACGAGATTGCGGGTATAAGCGGCCGAAATGAGTTTTCTCCGCAGTGTGGCTGGGCTCTCCCTTAAAGATAGGGTGAGAAACTCTGTAAGTTGGGAGGGGCTCAGAGTAGATCTGCTGCTTCTCCGCATCGAGAGGAGCCAGTTTAAGTGGCTTGGGCGTCTAGTTAGGATGCCTCCCATGTGAGGTTTTCCTGGCACGTCCAACTGGGAAAAGACCTAAAGGAAGACCCAGGACACGCTGGGATGTCTCTCAGCTGGCCAGGGAACACCTTAAGGTTTCCCTGGACAATCTGGCCCAAGTGGCTGGGAAAAGGGAAGTTTGGGACTCCCTGCTTAGGCTGCTGCCCTCGTGACCCAACCCTGGGTAAGCGGCTGAACATGGATGGATGGATGTAATAACTTCAGAAGAAGTTGCATTATTTATCACAGATTGTGTGTCAAAGTTTGTAAAGACCATTTATTTTAAGCATTACTTTTTATAATGGCACAAAACATATTTTTTCTGTTCGGACGTCTTGTGTAGACAACATCTGTCAGACACAAGAAAAAACCTCTAAAATGTTCAAATTTACCACAACAGCAGCGTTAGCCTGTTGTTTAGCCTATACATGCATTTTCTTTCTTTGATTTGATTTTAAAGCAAAAATACAAACAACACTAAAACTCAACCTCATTAATCTCCATGTAACCCAAATGTCCAAAGGTTTTATTTCCTGAAATTCAGACATCTCGTCTTTATTTGAATGACAGCAAAGTGACTACCGCTTACTCGGTTTGCAAGGCAATGTTGATGTTTTTGCCCCACTAAAAACACGAGCCTGGAGTTCTGCCATGTTACGGAGATGCTGAAGCTAAAAGTTAGCTTCCTCTAGCCAAGAAGTGCTCTGCTCTCTCCTGGACGCTAAATCATCAACAGCCTTCCTCGTCATGAGCCAAGATGAGTGAGTCCGTGAATGCTAATTACAAGTGTAACATAGATCCGACCGGCTTTTCTAATCGGAGCTTTCCCTGTTTATTTTCTATGGGCGGCTAATCCAGGAAATAGGGGTAGAAGACTATTTTCACCTGCATGTTGAACTTTGGTTGACTGATAATAATTAAAAAATCCATCCATTCCTTCCATTTTCAACTTCTTATCTGGATTTGGGTCACAGGGGGCAGCAGCAGAAGCCAAGAGGCCCAGACTTCCCTCTCTCCAGGTACTTGGACCAGCTTCTCCGGGAATATCCCAAGGTGTTCCCTGAACAGCTGAGAGATGCAGTCTCTCCAGCGTGTCCTTGGTCTTTCCTTGGGTCTCTTCCCAGTTGGACGTGCCGGAAAACCCTCACCAGGGAGGCGCCCAGGAGGCATCCTGACTAGATGCCTGAGCCACCTCAACTGGCTCCTCCCGGATGACTGAGCTTCTCACCCTATCTCTAAGGGAGAACCCAGCCCCCTGCAGAGAAAACTCATTTTGGCCGCTTGTATCTGCAGTCTCGCTCTTTAGGTCACCAAAGCTCGTGACCATAGGTGAGGGCAGGAACGCAGATCGACCGGTAGATCGAGAGCTTCGCTTTCCAGCTCAGCTCAGCTTCACCTCGACAGATCGGTACAATGCCCGCATCACTGCAGTGATATTTCAGAAATAACAAGTAAAAAAGGGGTTCTCAGTGAACGTGGCCTTTAAGCTTCATTAGACTTCCTTAAGCTGTATTTGGTTGTAAGGGCTGGACTTCCTTTAGCCCTCAGGACTTCCATAAGTCTTCATGTAATAGAACCAACAAGTGCCAAAAATGGTGAAAATCTTCCGTTATCATGTTAAAACAATTCCAGCTTTGTGACTCAAAGCTGCCTTTGAAAACAGGGCGAGATTTGCATTTCAAAGCATGCAATGCTGTGCTGTTCATTTATGTTTATGTTTATGTATTTAGCAGACGCTTTAGTCCAAAGCGACTTACAAGTGATAATCGGCATGTTGCCCTTGAGGCTAACAACAACATTTATCTCATCTACATGACTTTTGTTTTCAAAAGAGTAGGAACAAAGCTGCAATTGTTTCTATTCCATTAACCTACCAGCAGCTTTAACTGAGCATAACCTTGATCCCAAACATGCCCACCAGACGGAGACATCGTGAGGTGGAAGCTGCCAGATGCTCAAAAGGCTAAAGACTCCCGGAGGCAGGTCGGATGCTTTGTAGGAGCTCAGGAGGAAAACAGAGGAGCTGCAGGCGGATATGGTTTAGTGATCTGAGTGGATAAAGGAGCTCCTCTTTCTCAGTCAGCAACACTGAAGGGTTCATCTGAGAACAGAAACAGGAATACGCTGCCACATGATACACGCCGTTTGACGCTAGCTGATGGAACGTCTGACTGATCACAGGAAAGAAGCAGCTGTTCTTCACTTGTTAGATTTACTAGAAGCAGATTCATGATTCATATTATGGCAGCAATTTTCCTTGGGGGAGCCTTTGACTATAAGGTCAGAGGTCATGATTCAACAATAAAAAGAGACTGAGAATAAAAACGGCCTCTATGGGAGAGTTTCAAGACGAAAGGCTCTGCTGACCAAAAGCAACCCAAAGCATCGTATCACATTTAACAACAATATATTTGAAATTCTCAAGACTCTTAGGAAAATATTTAGCTTACTGACAGACAAAAATGGAACTTTCTGGAAGGCGTGTGTCACATTTCATGTGGAGTAACAGTAACACTGAATCATCACACCAACTGTCAGACTTGGTGGTGGTAGTGTGATGGTTTGGGACTGCTTTGGACTACTTCCTGTATCTGATGGAACCATTAATTCTGTTCTCAGAACATCTTAAAGACGAATGTCTGACCTTTGACCTGAAAAAGGTCATTATTGTAGAAAAAGCCTCCAATGTGGCAGAATTATTACAATATCAGCCTATCTTCATTTGACATTGACATTTTATTTAACTGATCTGAAACATTCAGATTCAACATACAAAGAAAAAGTAGTAGAAATACATAAGGGCTACTTCCCTTTGAAATGTTTGACTTTATATTTAGATTTAAACAAACCATTTTTCACCAGTTAACTTCAGCCTGTTTCAGTATAAAGGGACTAAAACGTGCTCCACCAGAACCTTCACAAAAACAAAACAACCAGTTAGACTCATATTTTAAATCTTTTTAATATATCTCACATTTGGTTTATTTACACAGATAAACAGTAGTTTTTGTGACATAAAACTATGTGTTGTAGAATCAACATGAGAAACAAATGTGTACGAGAAGTGTACAGAGCACACACACAGAGAAATGACGCCAGGGGAGATCTGCCGTCGATCGCCTCTCTGGAAGAATGTGTGTTACCCCAAGTTTGGTGTGACAGACCTCAGCAGCGATCCCTCCTCATCAGCTGAATATGGTTCTGTTTTGACTTTCATAATTATAACACAAGTCTTTCTACCCCCCCCCCCCCCCCCCTCCTCCCCAGGCATTCTGTGAACAGATAAAGCGCAGCAACGTAGAAACTGTGACTTTGCGTGACACATGATGTTTGGCACAAATGTAAAGGCTGAGCATAAGTTTCCCCCCAATAAAACACATCAAATAAATAAACAAACACGTAAATAAATAATAAGTAAATAAATAAATAAATTCTCTACAAAGTCACAGACTGAAACGTTTCGACATGAGAGGCTGATTGATCTTATTTGCTGAACGAATACTTTATACAGCACTTTACGGTACGGCTACAGGCACAAACCCAAAGAACAGAGAAAAATGGAGCGGAGAGACGGGTGGAAAAATGAAACTTTCATTTTAGAATTTGTGAAAATTTGCCAATTCTTGCTTCTCGGCAATTTTAGAGACTATGGAAATGTGAGTGAATCAGCATTTTTTATCTTTTCGTTGCAATGACTGAACTCCACCAGTATTGCAGACCATAATAATAATAATAATAATAATAATAATAATAATAATAAAACCAGACACCAAGAACGTTTAGAAAGACGATAGCAGAAGAACCTGTTCTGTTCTCATCCTTCACACGGTGGAACAGGCAGCTGGGACCTTATCAGAAACATTTAATGCACAAACCACAAGAAGAACAAAAACAAGCTTTTTGCTGTTCTGTTGAGTCCAGCTTGGAGATCTGAACTTATCACTTCAAGCCTTTACCATTTTGCATGTACATAAAGCCAGACAACATCCATTTTCATGTGAAATGGAAACCTTGAATGAAAAGTAAAACCCAGTTGAACTTAGATAATAATAAAAATAAAAAAACCCTAACCCGATCATCTGAGTCAGAATAAAACATCCTCTCCAGCTAACAGCAACAGAAGAACCATCCCAGAGCTCAGATTTATGGAGAACTTAACCCAAACAGTGTGTTGGAGTTGAACCTTTCATTTCTAATTATGGTTCATGCCTAACCTCCTAGCCCCCTGTAGCTCTGCCGTCCCTGAGCACATACTTTTATTGCACATGCACTTTTTCTGTCATATTTCACCCACTACATAAAGCTACTGCAGCCATACCTGCTACAGCCCTACATCTGCTTACATCTGGACTAAAACTCGGTTTCTCTACGGTCCTGAGGTGTTTCCTTCCACAAAAAATACCCAGCCTCTCGGCGTCCATCAGAAGGAGGCGCCGTGCTGTGCTGAGCGATACAATGCCCTTCAGGGGGTTTTCATTGGGAGTGGAGGAGACTTGGCTCATTATTGTGTTTGCAGCAGCCCCGTGGCTTCCAGCCGCATCAGCACTCTGATTGGCAAGCGCTGCTCACTGAGAGCACATTAGCAGCAAGCGACTCAGTCGGTGTGTTTGCGTGCACACGGTACTCCGGCTGTGAGGTATTGTGCCTCTTCCTACTGGGGTACTAGATAAAAAGCAGACAAAGACTTTGTGTTATCGTAACATTTTAAAAATAAGTTAGGATAAAATGACAGGTTTTAGGTTTATTTCTTTCCGTGATTGCTGCCATGTGTCAGCTCTTTGACTTAATGTGAGATTATGCTGGTTTGGCGTGAAGAATGCAGACATCCAGTCTGGCTTTATCTCCTTGGTTTGCTCAGTTTACAAAGCAAACAGTGAACTAATCGGTTATGTTAGCGACTATCAGTCGGGCTACGCAGAACTCCACCTGTAGATAAAGTCTTAAAGGGAATTTTGGCCATTTTAAAAAGCGTTTCTGTGTAAAAGTTATGAAACATTTATGGTCACCTCTATAATAACCTGTTGACTTTGCACAGGAGTGACAAGCTAACAGCTAGTCTGAACACAGACCAAAGTGTGCTTCAGCTTCTTTTGCTCTCTCTTTCCTTCATTTGGGAGCTTTGTTTAACCATTAACTCGTTTTTACTTAATTTTCCTTTTTAGATTTGCCAAGAAATCTATTTTCATTTAGCATCAAACTGATTGGACATCAGCCGTTGTTACCGGTGTTTCCCACTGGTTGGGACTCCACTGTGTAACATTAAACTGAGGTTCTTTGGATGATCTTCAGAAATAAAATAAACGTAAAGAACTATTCCTACTCAGTACAATTAATGCCAAAGCAAAATATGTGTCATTAATGGATATAACTAGTATAACATGCATGTTTTATTGTCTTTATTTTGATATGTTCTTGTTTAGTTAGCTTTCTAAGCAGTTTTTGTGGTCCAAATATCTGGTGGTACGACTGAGGTGCTACATTGAGCTGCTGCTGATATTTTACCAACAAGCAACCCCAGCATTCTGGGTAAATAACATCTGTTGTGACATTGGTGCTCATGTAAAGATTTATGAAATAATGTCACATTGAATTCTGGAAATTTGATCAGTTTTTTTAAATCACTTTGTTCTTGGCTGCATTTGGACTAGCTGTTAGCTTATCAGTCTGTCAGACATAAACTCCACTAAGGAGAGGACATTCAGGAATCTATATTGAATGAGTAAGATGTATAACTTCACTGCAGAAACACACTTCAAAACAGCTAAATTAGCCTTGTTATCACTGTGGCATTTCTGACACGCCGTAGTTTCATGGTTTTGTTCGTAATGAATGGTAGACACATTTTGATTGGCTGTAGTGACTTCCTGGCAGTGTTGCCAACTCACCCTGGCTTTCCACTGGATGTGTGAGCGGTGAGTAAGATGAAAGACGCGTTATACCCATGAGCCCCTGTCCCACCGGAGTGTTTCAGAGGCAAAACGGCAGCAGAAGCTTTCCATGTGTTATTTTGGCAATTCCCACGATAACAAGCAAGGAGAAAGTTTGTTCGGCTTACCTTGGCTACAGAGGTGTCGCAAGTAAGGAAGTAGTATTTTTTTAAGTAGTTAAACAGCTGGGAATCTGCACTTGACTTTTATTTTGAAAGTTTCCAGAGGTTTTATGCTGCTGTTGTTTATGACTTCCTGATTGGCTCAATCTGAACTGCTGAGCTTGACGTGCTCTGGAAGCGTAGCACCTCCCTGCGCTTCCGGGGCGTGTCCAAACTGCGACTGTGGAAAGGCCCTATTAGTGAATTTGTATTCAAACCAATTTTGCAACACTCTTTCAAAAAAAGTGATTAGACTCTGGCATTGTTAGAAACTCTGATATAAAAGCACGGGTTGTTCTTACTCCAAAAGAAGAAGGAGCTGGGTAGAGCCCCTCTTCCGTCCAAAAGCACTCACAGGTGGCTCAGGCCTCCTCCAAGCTGCAGTCAGAGCAGGAAATGTCTACCCCCTCTGTAACAGGCTGCAAGTGAATCTCACATGCATGGAGAAAAAAAAAGATATTTTTGACAAGCTCTGTCTGAGTTTCTTCTTTTGGTCACTTTAGCTAATCAGGAGTCAAAGCAAAGTTCCTTTAGTGGCATCTGTTAGGACAGTCAGTGGCTACTTTCCCTACTGATGAGTTGGCAACACTGAAGTCACAGCTCATCAGAGATGATAAAGTCTAGAACCTCTACACGTAACTTCAGCTCCGGTATTTCAGTGTGCACGTAAATGTGTCTCACACGAATCCCGAGGACTCTCCTGTCACCTCAGCTATCTTCTCAACCCCACTGAGGCCTGGCGTAGCGTGGTCACAGTACCTACATCCACACATGAGTGCAAAAAGGATCAAGAAATAAAACGGAAAAGAAAAGCGAACCCTTGACAGAGAGATGATGGTGAACGTGTTGGATGCCTCCCCCTGCAGCAAGCACCACATGTTTACTGTGTTGTATTTACAGAATGACCCGCTGGTATGGAGAGAAAAAAAAAAAAGCACAAGAAGCCATTCCCTAGCTGTCAGGAGGGAAAGTAGCTGATTAATTACATTTTTTGTTTGTTTGTTTACAGGACAACATACACACTTGCTAAGTAGACACATCTTGCTATCCGCAAGGTGTGAGGTAACTTTTTTCTTTTTTCACATAGTGAAATCCATTTTAGATTAGATGCATGCATTACTCTACGTGCTTATGCCGGGGGTCCTGCTGTTGCTGATCCTCCCAGTTGATGACCGTCTGTCCTTGAGGGCTGGGATAGTGATCTGGCCTCCTCAGTGCTTCTGTACTCTCACTGTGACACAACACACACACACACACACACACACACACACACACACACACACACACACACACACACAAAAGATGGAGTGTGTTTAGTGCTGCTGACAGCCTAATGAGTCGTATTATTAATAAAAAAAACCTGAATCAGTGGCAGCACGCCACGTTACATTGCTATTTTTGGATGGAGCAAGGCAGCAGCAGCCCATTAAGCAGAGCCAGACAAGTTCATTATGGGATGTTATTGGTGCCATGCAGATATTTAACTGCAGCCAGCTCTTCTGGTCCAAATAAATAAAGCAACAACGCAGTCATTAGTAGAACCAGATGCTTCTGTACTTCAAAGTGCTTCGGTTTCCTTTTTCAAGACGACCGCACTGATTGTGGGAGTCAAGATCAGGTGAGTTTACAACAATTTTCATGTGTAATCCATGAAAAGCAGATTTATTTTTCTAAAGTAAGTTATTTTTGATGACTGTTAAAATTTCACCCAGAGGAAACACAAAGATGAGGAAGACGTCCTTTTTATGTTTCTAAGTTTTTGTGATTAAAGATAAAATGTAGAGAAAAAAATGCTGCTTTCAGAAATCAAGAACAAAAGTTTTATGGTAAATCAGAATCCTGACTTTTTGACTTCTGAGAAAAAAAGTCAGAAGAATGAGATTAATCTCATATTAATTTCAGATTAATCTCAGATTAATATGAGATTAATCTCATGATTATGAGAAAATAAAGTCTGAACTATTTGTCTTCCATATTGACTTAATTCTGAAAACTGTAAAACAAAATAAATAAACTTCATCCTGATTATCTTTCCCTCGGAGTGGCTTTAATATTCCACCATATGCTAAAGTTAGTTGGATAATAATTATTTTATAAAAGGAACTGACTTCATCTCTGCAGCCTCGCTTCTGTCAGTGCGCCCCAGGGCAGCTGTAGCTACAACGTAGCTCATCCCCACCAGTGGGTGAACGTGTGTGTGTGAATGGGTGAATGACTGATTGTGTTGTAAAGTGCCTTGGGGGGTTCCAGAACTCTATCAAATACAGGTCATTTACTATTATTTTTGTTACGATTAGAAAATAAGTTGAAAGTCGTGTAACTATCCTGTTGTCTTAAGTGTAACAAACCAAGTGACAGGATTCTTTGCGAGCTTTTGTGGTTGGTTATAAATGCAGATTCTAATCTTAGTTGGTCATAAATCCTTATTATTGTTCTTCACTCTGCTTCAGTTGGAAACAAAAACAAATTGCTGCACATTTAAGGTTTGGCCAGTCTCAATAAATGAATAAATGTGTGTTTCTGTGACACATTCGTGTTACGTTAGTACACGTATAACGTTAGAGGACCAATGCATCATCAAGTCTCTGGACCCACCTCTGTCTCCACCGTTCCTCATGTTGGTCTCATCCTCCTCTGCTCCATCATCCACTAATCATGCAAGGACAAAGGAATAAACAAGACGAGAGATGATCAGAGCAGGGGCGTGTGACAAATGGAGTCATACGGGGGGGGGGGGGGGTCATATCATGGACCAACCTGAGTGGAGCTCTTTCACCAGCGACGACATGGTGTTTGTGATTGAGTCAGCAGCAACTAAAAGGTCGTTCCGAAGATTTCTAGGTACACCTGAAGAACAGAGTTGTTTCTGTTTTGTTGAGTTTTGAGCCAGGGTTGGGGTTAGTCTCCTACGGTAACTGGCCATCAGGTGTCGGTTCAGACTCACCCTGAGCAAAGGCCTCCAGCACGTCCCCTCCCACCCCCGCCAGGCAGTCCTGTGGCGTGTGAGTCGGGGTGGAGCCAGCTGAGGTGGAACGTATCGGCATGGGCATGGAGCATCCCGCGCCGTGACTAGGGGAAGAATGAGGGGAGCCTCCAGACTGCGACTGAAACGTAAAAAGAAAAAAACTGCCTATATTACACAAAATGTAGTTTTATTTAATCAGGTGATTAATCAGGACTATAAACAACAACCAGATGGTTTTTACAGAAACATGCTTTAGTGCTGAATGTGAAAAACTCACAACCTCTATTACTACATTAATCAGCAAAGCACCGCCTGCATCAGAAGCAAAATCTGTGTCCTAAACTTTTTAAAGCTTGAGCAATATCCACTAAAACAACCTGACTTCCATACGGGGAGAACTGGTCATGAAATGGCTCAGAGCTTAATGATACATGTTGCGCGTTGTGAGGAGAGGATGAGTGTGTCAGAGGGACCACTGCAGGTCCGCTCCATGACTCTGATCCAGGAAGCAGATGGTGAGCCAGACCTCAGCCACATTCAGAGGGAGGCTGTTAAACCAGATGAAAGGAGCAGGTTTCTGTCACTCACACCAACAAAAACAGGTTTTCTAACTTGTTTGGTTTGAAACCAGCTTTAAAGGCCACATCTATGGATTCCAACCAATCAGAGAGCGCTCTGTGTCTGACGACCGGATCAATATGACAGCATTATCCTTTTTCCTGACAGTAAATCAGCTCTCTGCCTTTTACATCTGCATGAAAGAACGGGAGGAAGAAGTTTTAAAGCAAGTGAAGCAAACTGAATCATGGGAAACTTACAGCCTGTTTCTGCTCCTCATCCTATCAGCCAGCAAAGGTGAGCAGAGAAAGAGTGAGGAGAGTAAATTATAGCAAAGAAAGATGAAGAGAGTGCTTTTTTATGCATCACAGCTAAGAAAAAGTGTTTTATATCATTAAACCTATTAAATTAAGTCAAATCAGCACCAAAAGCACCATTAAACACCAGCGGCAGATTTAGGAGCTCGTGATTTCAGCGTTGATGTTTCATCATCCCACCTGCAGGTAAGGTTTTACCTTTAGCAGCCTCATGAGTCCCTCCAGCTGCACCATCAGCTCCCGTCTGCTCTCCTGCAAGGCCGACATGCGCCTCTCCAGCTCGTCTTTCCTGTGTCTGCAGAGAAAAAGTCTTAAATGCTGCAAGTTTGATGTTTGACTATGAAGCAGGAGTCCTAAATAAAACACGGTTGTGGTTTAGATAAACATGAATGAAACAATTTAAAGTGGTTTATTACACAAGCATATTTTATGTTCTGAGGCTGGAGCCCCCCCCCCCCGCAGAGAACTGTGGCTCATTGTCACCCCCTGGTGTTGATAGTGTAGAAATGTATTTAGTCAGATTAGTCATTAATAAAACCAGCTTTAGATGGTAATTGCTCTTTCCTGTTATGGTTAACTCACTTTTTGTTGTCATAAGACAATAATGTTTCTGCATGTTTGTGAGCACATTTATCTTAAAGTCTGTAACATATTTCATGAACCACTGGAATTGAGTGAAATGCTCTGATGACAAACCACAATGGTCATCTATCTGACTTGTCCTTTGAGTCAACTTGATTCAATATGGCTGCCACTGCTGAACAACAGAGAAAATACAAAAAAATTAAGCTAAAACTCAGTCAGTTTTACAAATATTAAGATAATTTTGGTGTTGTAGAAGCTGAGAGATGTGTGTGTGTGTGTGTGTGTGTGTGTGTGTGTGTGTGTGTGTGTGTGTGTGTGTGTGTGTGCCAATTGCCAAACAGACAAACATATCAGTTTATTTTGAGATTTGACCAAAAAGACGGTTTTATCCTAAAGCTATCTGCTTTTGTTTGCTTCTGCCTGAAGGTGACGGCTCATCGGGTTAATGTGCTCAAGTGTTTGTGACGTCACTATTTATTCATTTATTCTAGTATCCTGATCAATGGCGCCCCCAAGGGGTGGCCAGGGGTGGCTATGGCCACCCCTAGAAAATTGCTGCCCCCCCCCCCCCCCCCCCATTAGCAAAAGCCAGTGTTAATAAATCATAATAATATTAATGCTCACTGCATTGATCTTATTTATTCAAGACATAATTGTAAAACAAAGTAAAAATAATACAAATAATAAGTAAAGAAATAATCAGAATTAAAAAAAATACATACTGTATGTTTCTGCTGCTCAACATTTTAAAAAAGTTTTTATCTCCATCAGTTTTTGTGAACACAGCAACAGGTGAATTAAACAAAACAAACAAAAATAAAATAATATTTTAAAATAAAAATTGAAATAACATTTTAAATAACTGAAATGTTTTTTTCTGAAATGTTTGTGTTTGTAACATTTAAGTAAAATGTTTTGGATGCTTCCTTTTTTTTTTTAATAAAAATGAATAAAGAAGCAATCCAATACATCGTCACAGGCTAAACTCTCCCAGAGTTACCACAAGGACCAATTTGGTTTGCCACCCCAAACATTTCGTTGGCCCTGTCTGGCCACCCCTATGAAAAATTTCTGGAGGCGCCCCTGATCCTGATACTTAAAATAAACAAATAAAAGCTTTAAATCCGAAGCCAAAATGCACAACACCTCACAGCATGTTAGGAGTAGTTATGTTTGCAGAGCGTCGCTAAAGTTTGAGCAGCAAAAACGAAGCAGGTCCCCCAGAATCTGCTGTGAGACAACCCGCCTTCATGAGTATATGTGTTAATTTTTTTTTACATCATACTGATTTGAAAAATACTTTTATCTAAAGTAAATAAAGAAAAGGTAAAGCTGTGATTACAGTGAATCTGGGTTTCAGTCACGTGTGTTAGAAGCTACAAAGCTCCAGTCAGCAGAGACAAAAGATCAATATGTAAATCCATACTGGTGGTTAATAAACATGCTCGTGTATCCATTATTCATGCCTTTTTATTTGCTACGTGTCCACTTAAACCCAACAGTCCTGATTTATGGTGGATCTTAGATCTGACTAACTGATGACTTGTGCTGTTTGGGTTCCAACCTGAGGAGCCGTAGTTCAGTCAGGAGCGTCGGGTTCTGTTGGGCTTTTTCTGGTGTCGGCTGAGAGGCCTGCTCGTGCTCCAAACGCAGCCTCTGGATCTCCTGCAGGATCTCCCTGAGCACAGGGAAAGTAGCATAGGACTTTTTCACATTGCAACAAATAAAAGTGTCACATCAGAGGATTTACATTAATAAAGAGAAATATATTGTCGGGGTTAGGCGAATGTCTGTTAACTGAATAAAAGTAGTTTTATTTTGAAAATCAATAAAAGTAAAGATGTTCCAATAAGATCTGTTAGACTTTGAGTTTTATTTCTCTGGTTTACTGCTTTTAGCTGAAGAAAAAAAACTTAATTTGCAAAGCTACCATAAAAGTTGTGCATAAATAAAAGAGAAAGATATAGATTTATTTATTTATTTTATTATTTTTTTATGTATTTTTTTATTTGTTTGTTTATTTATTTATCTATATAGCTTATGTTTTTTCAGGAGGACAAACTGCTTGAAATGTAACATCTCGTTTTCGAGCAGGTCCTCCTTCAACAACAACCAATAAAGAATAAGATGGCAGAGTTCAGTTATAATAATAGGCTTAAAATTTTAAAGTTATATAACAATAATAATAACAACAAAAAGTACATAAAAATATTCAGTTAATAAAACTTGACCACCGTATTGTGACTAAATATTTTCCACCGCTGCAATCCCATAAGCCAACAACATAATCAAACATAATAAAAAATGATAGAGCTATAAATTGCACCTGTTTTTGTTCTCCAGCTCAGCAATCAGCTGTCTCTGTTGCTTGTTGGCATCAAAGTTAAAACCCAGGTCTGATGGAGGACACTGCTGCTGCAACACAAAACGATGACAGAAGGATGTCAGCATAGACAAACAACTAGTTTCTGCTCTTGTTTAACTTACTTCAGCTCATTTTATTTTACTGCAAACAGCAAAAAAAATAAAAATAAAAATAACGCGCGCACACACACACACACACACACACACACACACACACACACACACACACACACACACACACACACACACACACACACACACACACACACACACACACACAAACCTCTGAGTTTATTTACTGGCACTAGCTTTCTTAGAGTCTTGTTTTTAGAGTCACCATCTAACCTTGGGATCCTGATGAAACAGATTTTCTTTCCTAAATTTTGTTTACTTTATAAGGGGAAAATATTTCAAATTAAAACATAAAACAGTTTTTGATTCTAAATTTATCAATGTGGGTCTGCACTCTATAAACACTCCAAAGGTGGAAAAAAAAAATCCATCCATCTTATTCTCTGTCAGAGTTTGGTTTTGGAATTACGTACCTAAAACAATCCCCGTTTGTGATGTCACAAATAGGGATAGTAGAACCACCTCTCATGTGCAAGTGAAAGCTGCTGCTGGAGGAGCAGCAGCTCTACTGTGAGCCCCTCCCAGATATCAGAACTTCTCAGCCTATAGCAGCCTGAGCAGGGATGGGTGGGCGGGGCCAGCTTTTTTTTAAAATACACAGCACAGAGGGGGAGGCGTCCAGTCAGAAATTGCAGCAGTCAAGAAACAGAAAACAACTTGAGCCAAAAAAAGAAAAACATTAAAAGTACTTATTTGACGAATCACCTGAGCGTTTGAACCCCATTTTGTCCCTGAACCAAAATGTATTAGTTCTATTCTTCTAACCAAGGAATATAGTTTCACTGAGTAAAATATCAAATAAATGTTACAGATTTTTCAAATAGCTTCCGTCAGTCCTTCACAAAAAATCTAAAACAAAAATCTAATAGAAAATTCCATTGTTGTCCCGTGAAGAGGACATTTTGGTGTAACAGCATCAAAGAAGATTCACAACATGAAAAAAAAATCTCTACAGTAGAAACAGTAAATGTGTAAAAAATTAAAAGATCATTGAATTTACTGCACTTAGAAAAATACTGTGTAATAGATTAATAAACTAACAGACAAGTATTGTTGTTCTTCGGCAAAGCTCAGCTATTTTTAAGCTTTGGGTGTTTTAAAGTACATGTTTACATTTCAGACTCTTATTTTGATGGATTGGAAGAAATTCCCCAATTTCTGTGTTGCAATTGCATTCTTTCAACTTTATTCTTGACGTTCTGACGTTAATCTCAACACCTTTAGTTCATTTTTTCCTCAGTGACACGAATGTTTGCGACACTCACGGTGGAGTTTCCGGCCTCGGCTGCCAGGCGTGCTGCGTATCGCGCGATAAGGCGGTGTTCTTCATCCAGTCGACTGGGACTCTCCAAGACACTACAAGTCAAACACAGAGTCAACCATCCGACATATAAAAGCTCAAGTTGAAAAGTTTGTTGGAATAACCAAGATATAACTGCATCATAAAACTCAGAGTACTTTATTTTATTCCAGCCATCTTGGGTCCTGTATGGTTGCAACTGGTCATAAAGCAGGGATGAAAAGTTGCATGCCAGATGTGTTTGTGGATGTTCAGATGTCAAATAAAGCACAGGAGTTAAATGATCATGGGCATGGCTTATGGTGCAGACAGATGACCGGACATAAGCTGGTCTTCCTCTGCAGGTTGTCTGCAATGAGGAGTGAAGGAGAGCTGAAATGGTGTTGGGAGCCATCCAACTCTGACCGGAGAGTAAAAGCAATGATCGGGACGATTAAACCCGCTCTGGTTACCGATTCACAGCATCGACAGCTGCCGAGTTTACAGCACCCACTAAAAAAGTTCCCAAAACAAACAAAACACACTTCACTTTAAAGGTCACCAGATAAACTTCTGCTTGTTCGGCTCTGAAGTTATTCATGAGTTGATATCAAACATTCAACAGACTATTGGATATAATTCAAGATCAAGTCCCTAAACTCAAAAGAATCTGAAGCACCAGACACCACTCCATGCTAATTGTAGCTAGCCATTTGAACAGCAGCAGTTTGGAGAAACCCAGATTTAATCAGACTGGAGCGACAAGCTAACGGCTAGTGTGTGAAGGCAAAAGCAAGGTCCTTAAAAAAGTAAAATGCAACGATTCACTTTTACTTGGCTGCAAATGTTAGCAGTTCTCACTACATCGTGAGCTAGCTACTGTATCTACAACAGGTACGATGAGCTGTTCCACCGGGCAGTGGCGGATTTAGCTATTTGGGGGCCCAAGGCGAACACAGACATGGGGCCCCTTACACTAAATTTCAGCAACCTTACCTTTAACTGGATTTGCGAAACTCTCCCCTCTTCTGACATGAGTTATTTCCCCCTTTTTTATAAGTTCTCCTCTTTTTTCCTGTTTTTCTCTCCCTTTGAGTGCCTTCAATATTTGCTCTGCTTTCTTCTTCCTGTCAGTGCTCCTGTGCTTTTGCCTTTGTTTATTTTTTTTTAATATTTTGCACTTTGGTCTATTTTTTCATCCCTTTAAACATTTTCCACTGTCCTTCCTTTCCGCTTCATTTTGATGTTTACATTGAAAAACGACGTCACTTTCGGAAGTGAAAATAAAAGCTTTTATGAAGCAAGCTGCTTCTTTCTCTTATTGGAGCCACTAGGGTAACTCCATTTCATGCTTAATGTTTTGACTACCGCTTCGAGTTTGTTACGAACGCTCTCGCCTCTCTTCTTATGCTTTCTCTTCTTCTTATTATTTGTAGTCTTATGGCACTTGGCAAATAATAGTTTGGTGTATTACCACCATCAACTGGATTGGAGTGGAATGACTACCAATTGCTTCCTGTTTGTGCATCGACGTCTTAAAGAATAGTCCATTGTGGCATTAACAGAGGGGTGCCGGCGGTCAGGGCTAGGGGCCACCCCCAACATAAGGAGGCCCCAGACGGCTGCTGACCTATGCCTAATGGTAAAACCGCCACTGCCACTGGGAGCTTCATCCTCCACTTCCTGAACAGTTGGAGTCTGAATCTAGACAAGGGTTTGTGATCTGCCTTTAGGCTTCTCTGAAGAGCTCTCTAACTTTTAGTAACACACTTAAAACATGTTTAATTGGTTTAATCACACTTTTCTTCCCTCAGGTGTTGTCTCGTCAGTCATTATCGTTATGGAGCCTTTTGTTTGCAGCATTCAGATTTAGGAGGTTTGAAGAGATGGTTTGGGTCTTTTAAGTGTGTCTGTGTGAGATCCTTATCTCTAGTCAACATTTTATCTCCAGTAGATAGCTGACGGCATCTCCAGTTGGGAGAGTCGGTCTCTGGTGCAGAAGCCAATCATTGCCATTGCACATAAAAGTCAATATAAGCTTCAATACATGCTATTTTTTGATTATTTTCCCTTCTTCACCGTGCCTTCAAACAGATCTCCCCTGCGGGGAACAGAAGACACATCCATCTTCATCAGACTTCATTGATTTAAAGGTCATTTTCTCTATTGATGCAGTGAGTCTGTTTGTATTGTCGTCTGACTTTGGCCAAAATAATTCTTCATGATGGTGAAGTTGAGGCAAATGCAGATCGGAAACTTTTTAAGAAGTTTGTTGGGACTTTGCAGAAAACAGCGTCACTTCTCGGTTGGAAAAGACTGCTTGGTAGCAAAGAAACAGAATAAAATCATAAAACAGGCTCAGTTTGCCAGGCTCAGTCAGTCGATGTGGGCAAGACACTTCTCGATACAAATAAGCTCTGTGGGACATTTTCTGATCAATCTACTTTTATTAAAATATTCTTATTTAATTATGTGAACTGAGGCACCATAGATCAATGACAAATTTTAAAAAGTGACGATCTTCCATTAGCATCATGTTTAGTCAGCTGTTCATTAACGTTATATTAAATCACTTCAAACCAACAAGACAATCTACTGATTAGGATTATTTCTTCTGCTGCCCTGTTTCTGCCTGACTAACAGGTAATCCATCTGCTGGGGGTGAAGGTGTCAGTGAGGGAGGCAGTGGGAGCAGATGCTAGGTCAGCACAGCAGACGATATCAAAGAGCCGACTGTGATGGAGGCACAACATGGACTACTTTTTAAAGAAGGTGCATCTGATTGTTGTGGTGGGTAAGGTGTTGTTGACTTTCCTCAGGTAGTAAAAAAGGAAATCCAAAATGGTCACTCCAAACAGTCACGGTGGGTGTTCTACCTTGGTTTGTTGAATGCTTAAACTGAAACTGAGTTACAAGAAGCTTTGCATGATTCAGCAGAAACATCTTATTGAGCTGTTGTGTTAACAAGCAGGCATATGCTAGGAAATAATAAAAACATCTCATTTGAAAAGATATGAGAAGAAAAATTTGTAGGATTCAAGCTAAACTGAACCTGACAGCAAATTAAATACCATTAAAATGATCCAAAGGGTTCAGGCCCTAGGCGTAATTTGAAGCCTATTCTTTGAAAAATGGTAAAAATGGTATTTAATGGTCAAAATAGTTTAGATAGCCTTGTAGTGCTGGGCTTGCTGATTACTTTGATGGGAATTATTACAATTTCTTCTGTAGTGTGAGGGTTGTTTTGGGCCTGTTAAGGAACAGACGTCACAGGGTCCCCCACCTGGGGGACCCTTAAGGCAACTGGACTTCTTTGGTTTCTTGAAGATGTTTCGCTTTTCATCCGAGGAGCTTCGCCAATTCTGACTGGGATGTTGAAGGTCAAGCTCATAAACTGCAGCAGTCTGTTGTTTCTTACTGAGCTGAAACTACCTATAAATACAATTCAATTTAATTCAATTCAATTCAAAAATACTTTATTAATCCCAGAGGGAAATTGATTGCTGTAGTAGCTCAGAATAATAATAATAATCAAGTCATCAAAGAGTTATTGTATATTACAATGGCTGTTGGCAGGAAGGATCTCCAGTAGCGGTCAGTGTTGTAGCAAAACTGAAGAATCCTCTGACTGAAGACACTCTTCTGTTGTCAGACAGTCTTGTGAAGAGAAAGCTCAGGGTTGTCCATAATTTTCTTGATTCTCTGGAGAATCCTTCTTTGCATTATCTCCTCCAGTGGTTCCACAGTCATCTCCAGAACAGAACCAGTCTTTGTTATTAGGCTGTTGAGCCTTTTCAGGTCCCTGCTTCTGATGCTGCTACCCCAACAGACGATGGCTGAAGAGATTACACTCTCAACAACAGACTTGTAGAAGATCTGCAGCATCTTGCTACAGACAATGAAGGACCTAAGCGTCCTCAAGAAGTGCAGTCTGCTGTGTCCCTTCTTGTAAACAGCTTCACTGTTCTTTCTCCAGTCCAGTCTGTTGTCCAGGTGAACTCCAAGGTATTTGTATTCCTCAACCACCTCCACTTCTTCTCCCATGATGGAAACAGTGTTTGACTCCACCCTGTTTCTTCTGAAGTCTAAAATCATCTCCTTTGTTTTGTTCACGTTCAAGGTCAGATGATTGTTTCCACACCATGCCACAAAGTGCTCCACCAGCTCTCTGTACTCAGCTTCCTGTCCATCTCTGATACACCCGACAACTGCAGAGTCATCCGAGTATTTCTGTAGATGACAGGTCTCTGACTTGTACTGGAAGTCTGAGGTGTACAGGGTGAAAAGGAATGGTGAGAGTACAGACCCCTGTGGTGCTCCAATGTTACTGATCGCCTGGTTTGATGTGCAGTTCTTCAGCCTCACAAACTGTGGTCTGTTTGTCAGGGAGTCTTTAATCCAGGCGATAGTTGAGGCCCCCACCTGTGTCTTCTGGAGTTTCTGGCAAAGTACATCAGGCTGGATTGTGTTAAATGCACTGGAGAAATCAAAGAACATGACCCTCACAGTGCTGCCTGCTTTGTCCAGATGACAGTGGATTGGTTGAAGCAGCTGGATGATGGCATCTTCAACTCCAACTCCATGGCGATAAGCAAACTGCAGCGGGTCCTGATATGTTCTAGTTTGCTTATTCAGGTGGACCAACAGGAGTCTCTCCAGGACCTTCATGATGTGGGTTGTCAGGGCAACCGGTCTGTAGTCATCATTGACTGATGGGCGAGTTTTCTTTGGAACTGGAACAAGGCAGGATGTCTTTCACAGGACTGGAACCTTCTCCTGGGCCAAGCTGAGGTTGAAGAGGTGCTGCAGAATCCCACAGAGCTGCTCTGCACAGGCCTTCTGTACTCTGGGGCTGACACCATCTGGACCTGCAGCCTTGTTCCTGTTCAGTCTCTCCAGCTGCCTCTTCACCTGACTTCTAGAGACAAATAGGTGTGGGGTGGAGGTAAATGGGGCAGCAGCATCTCCTGACTTGGTTGAAGACGGATTTATAGAACCAGAAGAGTCCATGACTGCATTAGAGGACAAAAGAGCTGGCGTGTGACAGGAAAATGTTGGATCCGAGGAGGATGGGATGTCTGATTGGCTGGGGACAGGATGCTGGGTTTGTTCCTGAACTGAACCTATTGAAGAACTTGTTCAGTTCATTGGCTGTGTCCAGGCTGCTATCTGTGCAATCCTTCCTCTGCTTGAAGCCTGTGATCTTCTCCATCCCTGACCAGACATCTCTGATAATGTTCCTCTGTAGATTGTTCTCCAGCTTCTTCCTGTATGCCTGCTTGCTGTCTCTGATCTTGATCTTCAGTTGCTTCTGTATACTCCTCAATAATTCCCTGTCTCCCTCCTTGAAGGCTCTTTTTTTCTCATTTAGCAGATTCTTCAGTTCACTGGTGATCCAGGGTTTGTTATTAGCGAAGCATCTCACTGTTCTGGTGGGTGTGATGTTGTCCACACAGAAGTTTATATAATCAGTGACACATCCAGTCATGGCATTGATGTCCTCTTCATGTCCGTGGCAGAGAGTCATCCAATCTGTGGTCTCAAAACAACCCTGCAGGGCTTCTTCAGCGTCCTTTGACCATTTTCTAACAGTTCTTCTTGTCACAGGTTGCCTCTGAACAAGTGGTTTGTATTCCGAGCAGAGAAAAACAAGATTGTGATCTGATTGTCCCAGAGGAGGTCATATTTTGGACATGTATGCATTCTTTACATTTGCATAACACAAATCCAATGTCTTGTTTTCTCTGGTGGAACAGCTGACAAACTGTTGAAATGTTGGAAGTGTAGCAGAGAGCAAGGCATGATTAAAATCACCAGATATAGCCACAAATGCATTGGGGTGCTGGGTTTGTAGCTTAGCAACAACGGAACTGATGGCATCACATGCATTTTCAGCAATGGCTGAAGGTGGAATATAAACGGTTGCCAAGACAACACTGGTGAACTCTCTTGGCAAATAATATGGGCGACAACTTACTACCAAGAGTTCAACATCTGGGCTGAAGAGACGACATTTCACTGAAACATGACCTGGATGGCACCATCTGTTGTTGACAAGCACTGCCACTCCACCTCCTTTTCTTTTCCCGCTCCTTTTTAGATCTCTGTCTGCTTGTACAGTCAGAAATCCTGGCAGAGAGACGCTGGAATCGGGGATATGGTCCTGCAGCCACGTCTCAGTGAAACACATAACACTGCACTGCCGATACTCTGGCTGAGTCCTTGAAAGGGCTTGGAGTTCATCCATCTTGTTGGCCAGTGATCTCACATTGCCCACTATGATCGATGGAAGAGATGGTTTGAATTTCCTCTTTCTCTGTCTCTGTTTTGCTCCCGCTCTGCACCCACGCTTCTTGCGTTTTAGCTCATTTGGGATTTGTGGCTTCAGTTGAGGTATTATTTCAGCCTCCCCCTATCCCCTGACGAGTCATCAATGTCGTTGAGACCTATTGTGTTAGAATGGTTGTTGTGATTAGATGCAGGAGGGTGTGCCCTAGACTGAAACAGTTTAGAAATTAGGTTTAGAGCTGCATTGTAGGGGCTGGAAAGGTGAGGCCTGAGGTCTCCTCCTCTGTTTAATCTTCAAGAGACCAAAGAAGTCCAGTTGCCTTCATGTGAACCCTTTGGATTTGATGACCTGGATGACTGAGAACCTTCACTGCCAGTAAAATGAGATAAATCAATGATATTTTAACAATAGAAGATGAAATGCATTCCTACTCCAAAAATAAATAAGTAAACAGATAAAATGGAACTAGTTGGACTGCGCAATGCAGAAAATATCCTCATCTAGTGCTTGAATGGAGCATTTCGTTTTTGTTTTTTGTCACACGTAAATATTTCAGGTTAGCAAACAACATCCAATCAGACAAAGATGCAAGGTGCAATGTATAGTTTTCAAACAATCGTTTCATTCATTGGGGGAAGCTGCACAAAGAAACCTGGCTCCTTGTGAAAAAGTAACCGCTCCTCTTGCTAAATCATGAATTCACTCTGATTCAGTCTCATCAGCCAAACCAAGAGCTGATTACCCTCAGACCAGCAGAAACAAGAAATAATTTCAATAAATCCCAAAAAGCAACAGATCTTGTCCTGTTCTACAGAAAGTAATGTAGAACCAACATCTAAAGAACCCACAGGCCTCAGTAGTGTAATGAAAGAGGTGATTTAACACCGAGAAGGAGAGAGGAGGGCAAAAATGAGAGTTCCACAACCAAAATCTTTGCTGAGCAAATCATCATAAAGATATGTCTTATATTTACCCAAAACATAACATCTTGATGGGCAAACATTTAGGCAAATATTTTGTGGACTGGTGAGACTTAAGTTTATCTTTCTGGAATGTCTGTGTTCTTTTCCATCTAGAGTAAAACTAACACTAAATCCTCACACCAACGGTCAGACATGGCGGTGGTAATGTGATGGTCTGGTGTTGCTTTGAACCACTTCCTGTAACCAACAGGGCATTCCTGCTGGAGAAACCCTCAAGGAGGCGGCCATCGGCTAGCACACTGCTGCTAACCACTTAACATTCTCCCTCTCCTGATAATAACATTTTACTTTCTGTAATGTAGAATGTGCTACTACTAGTTTACCTGTTTAATTATAGATTCACTAGGACCAAGACAATAAAGTTTATCTCTTACATGGCATATATGGTGTGTGTGTGTGTGTGTGTTGGGGGGGGGGGGGGGGGGGGGGGGATGTGCAACACATTCTCACACCCAAAGCGGCTAAAACTGACGAAGGGTGACCAAGCTTTTGTTTCCGTTGCGTCGGGAGCTCCAACTCGTTGGAAACAAACGCTTGGTCACCCTTCGCCAGTTTTAGCCGCTTTGGGTGTGAGAATGTGTTGGGATGTGTGTGTGTTCGCGTGTGGGTGGGTTGGTGTTGCTGTGTGTGTGTGTGTGTGTGTGTGTGTGTGTGTGTGTGTGTGTGTGTGTGTCTGCTCGTCTTCTCGATCCCCAGTGAGTCGTGGTGGTTGGCTGCTTATACTGAGCCAGGATCCTTTGGAGGTTTCTTCCTGTTAAAAGGGAGTTTTTCTCTCTACTGTTGCTGCATGCTTGCTTAGTATGAGGATTGCTGTAAAGACTCTGACACTAGTCAGTGACTCGATGCAACCTGCTGGGTTCCTTATATAGGAAACTTATTACTGATTGGCTTAACGAACTGACCTGTATTGGAATGTTTACTGTGTGAAGGTCCTTGAGACGACTCGTGATTTGGCGCTGTATAAATAAACTGAATTGAACTGAATCAGTGTTCCTGGTTAATCCTTTAATCGATGGAATTATTATTTGAAAATTGCATTTTTACATTTTCTCCGATTATCTTTGTCTGGTGCTGAAATTTCATTACTGATACGAAACATTCAAGTAAGAAATCAGCAAAGCTAGAACGCATCTGAAAGGGCTACGGGAGTCCAGGAGTCGAGTCCTTAATGAAACATAATTTTGCATTCCTAATATTGCCCCTTGTCCTCAAAATCTCCTCTTAAGCTCTTTGGCGTTACAGACCGGCATGGCTACTTGTCATAACGAACAAGACAGACGTACGGCACTCAAATTTAAAAATGGATTCAGTGTCCAAACCTGCATCTGAGAAATCATAATAAATCAGCGTTTCAACAGGAAGAAAAAGCTCTTAAACATTTAACGCAGCCTGCCGTGGAAGCCTCGCGATGGCTTCAAGCACACAAACGATAAGTTCTAGTTGCTACGACCCCTCAGGGCAGGAGCATCCTCTGTGCGTGCGAGTGACATCTTTGCTAAGCAGCTCTGACTCACAGAGCAAAATGTCAACATAAAGGTTATCAGGCTTCTATACTTTGGTGCGACAGTGAAAAAAAGAGCCTCAGGTTCAACATGATGCTATCCACTGACCTCTACTTCCTCAGGCATTGTCCATCAGACAGCTCAGTTTGGGACTTTCACCCCTGGATGGGAGGATTCCACTGAAAACATCCATTTGTTCTTGTTTTCATTTGCAGAATGTTTGTAGCAGCCTTGATTTTTTTAAAATGTCAGGATCAAAAATGTACATTTTTAAAATGAGCGTTTCCTGGAGCTTTTCTCTCGTCTGCCCTTCAGCTGCCAGAGACCTTGGTGGAGGGATGACAACTCTACCCAGAGGAGAACAAGTGAACATGAGACATCCACACCCTTCATTCATGCTCCCTCTGAATTTATGACAAAACTATTCCTGACTAATGTGCTGCGGGAACTCCCGAGTCCCTGAGCGCTCGGATCTTGCATGCACAAATTGACGGAAAGATCTGATGGAGCGATATTGTGCACAAAAGGAACATTTTACCCTGCAGGAGAGAGAGATAGGACACATTATAGCTCCCTCTCCACCATCAAAACCACAACCACAGAGGTTCATCACTGCTGGGTAAATAATAATAATTGCTTTGGATTTTAAATCAAATGAAACCTGAGAGGTGCCTTTAGGGTTCAGCTTCATGATGAGGCTCTACTGTAATCGTAGGAAGGAGAGATCACATGTTCCACTAAAAATACACCTGCAAGGTCACAGCTTAGGTTCTGTTTCAGCACTCTTCCACTTTAAAATAATTAATAGCTTCAAACATGTACGTGTCACCAGCCCTGGAGGGGTTGCTTACCTTTTGGTGGGAGTCGGTGCCCCAGAGGACATGAGCAATGTGTCGTTCATGTTGTTGGTCACTGGTTTCGGCTGACTAAAAGACAAGATTAGAGCGTTTTTTACTGCTAAGCTGCAGAATCCTGTGATGCTTGACACCAGGAAGTGGAGGAGAAGCATTAGCATCTTATTTATAATCATGAATCTGCTCTTCAAGCTTCAGTTTGGAGCAAAACAGGCTGAGGGAAAGCTGGGGTTATTCAAAACTACTCTAATAAAACAAAAATGTACTGCAGCTAACCTGGAAAGAATCGACTTTTCTGAAAGAAGCAATTTAGATGTTTTTAGGCAATTAGTGTAAAGCTAATTAACATGAGCGGGAGCAACAAGCACTGACGGGAAATCTAATTAAACTGGAAGTCTGTAAAAGGGGAAGGTGACATTGTGGGAGTAAATAAAGCAGCAGGGTCCACGAGGGCTGAAATTGTGGCGGGCTGATTGAAACGGAGGATAAAAATATCTCTCAGGTGCTTCAAACACTCAGAAAACAGCAGCGGCTCGTCTCCCCGTCTCCTATCAGTCTGCATCTCCCCGCTCTGACCTCAGGTCTGTTTTGTTTTATTTAAAGCTCCCGTTAAACGGCAGAGCGCCGAGCAGGGTTGTGTTTTCATGCTTGCTGCTCCAATCTGCGTGTTCTTTTTTAGCAAAATCAAAACTATTTATATCCACATTGTTCTGACTGCAGCACAGTCTGGATTATTCTGCTGATTCAACAAAACAGAAACAAATCACATCCAGTTTTATTTGCTCACCCACTAAGGTGCACGTTTGAGCCGACCTGAGAAGTTTAGTCCCTTAAAACTTGCCTTACGAATGATTACTTCATCACTTCTCATTCTTCTAGTACTTTCTTGAGACAGAAGCCAGGACAACAGATCAAGTGTCACTACTCTAGACTGCACATGCCTCCTCCTAAGTTTCCTTCACAGATGATCTTTTTGGGTTTTGTGTTATTCCAGTGCATCTGAACAGCGAGAAGATGCTGAAAACAGAAGACGAGGCATCACTTACCTCTGAGAGAAGAAGGAGAAAGAGAACACCTGTCTCGCTGGCAAAATACATCCAACTGCTGCTGCTGCTGCTGCTGCTGCTGCTGCCAGATGCCTAATCTGTCCTCAACTGAGCAGGCGAGCATCTCAATGTACTACACCGCTGCTGTCTCCAAGGAAACTCAGCAGCCACGTGACGTTATGACGAGGGAGATTTTCTGTCTCGCACACCAGCCCTTCCCTCTCCGAGGCTCGGCTCTGACCCTCGACATGAAGAACACACCGATCTCCTCTGATACAGAACCGAGAGGCCAACTGACAAATAATATTTGCTCACATACATTCAGCAAGTTACATGAACCAGGATGCTGGCTAGCTTCCTAAAAATACAGAAGTTGTGATGCAGCAGAGCACCGAAATAGCAACATTTTATACAAAAACATCAACATGTTCCTGTTTAAAAGCTGAGCACATCCATCCAGAGGTCACATCTGGAGTGTCAGGGGTCAACATTTAGGTGCCATCGGAGATCCGAGTCTGCGTTGCAGCCAGATCTGTACTACCTGCGTGCCACGAATGACAACAAATCCATTTACTTGTGCTCAGCAGTTGGCAGAGAGGGAAAATGAAATCTGATGGCACTGTTTCTGTCTGTCTTCAATCGCTCCCAGCTGGCTAAAAATAATATTAATACAACGCTTCGTCTCCTGCTGGCAGCAACCATCCTGCTTTAGAACCTCGGTCATAAAAAACTTATACTCCAGCTCTCATGCCTGATGTCATTTCAGCCACAGATTACAAAGTACCGCAGAAAATGACAGAAACACTTTTACTGAATATGTGAGAGGCTTTTGGGGTGAAAGTGCTGCCAACTCTGGACATCCCAAACCCTGAACACACCAACACACAAACATTCGAGAAGCTCTCTGACAGTTTGAGTGGAGGGGAAATAAAAGTCACAGCTCAGCTCAGAGTTGTCTTTCAGTGAATATTTTAGCACGAGAGTCGCAGCTCTTGGTCGGCAGACGATGTGAGCGTTCAGACAGCTGAGGGAGCGTACGTCGGTTCGATTCAGCAATCCTGATCAAACCTGACGCTCCAACCTGATTCTGTCATTGCAGCTCACTCACACAGAAAACCACCGCGCACACACCTGCTCATATCACATGACAATCATCGCAATTGGCAACAGTTGTTTTTGGAGAATCCAAAACTGTTTTACCTCAATCTAAATAAAACTGAGCCACTGTAGAACAGCACCAGGGGCTTGGCAGCTTCGCTGTGTGCAATTATCCGAAAAAGTCAGTTGGAGGACGAAAATCTGGAACCAAAAATTGGAACGATATGCAGATGATTGCTGCAGTTACCAACTATTTCTTTGAAATCGCTCATTAGATGTAAAAATCATTCACTGAGTGCCAATGCTTTAGTTCTGGTGGCTGTAGAGAGGCCTTTAAACTAAAGTTAGGTCTCAGATAAGTCACTAATAGAAATCAGGCGTGGTGTTAATTTATGTGCAAAGTCAAACTATCATAGAAAACAGAAATGAGAAAATCTTTAGAGGAGTTAATGAGTGTATTTTCTTTTAAAGCGACATATTATGACTTTTATTCATAAGTTGTGATAGTTATATGGTCAAATTTAAAAATGTTTATGAAGTTCTTTGCTCTAAATTCCTCTCACATGAAGCAATTTCAGATGTTTTATTCTTGACACTTTCAGGACCTTCCAGAATGAGACGTTTCAGGGCTCTGTCCCTTTAAGAAACAAGCTAGAGCTGGCCATGCCCATCCACACCGCTCAGGCTGCTATGAGCTAAGAAGCTTCCATGTCTGGGAGGGATTCAGAGAAAAGCTACTGCTCCTCTTGCACATGAGAGGTGGGTCTATTCATGCTTTTTGGGGACATTTTGAAACAGCTTGTTTCAGGCACATAGTTCCTAAAACCAAACACTGACAGAAAAAGAATGGATGGGCTGGACCAGCTCTATACTCTTAGGGGCCCTAGAGGGTGTGTGGGAGTTTGCCTATCAATCTACATGTGTTTTGTGGATTTGGAGAAGGTGTTCGACCGCGTCTAAGGAGGCCTGTGGGGGATATGGGGTACCAGGCCTTTCGATATGGGCTTTTAGGTCCCTGTGTGACCAGTGTCAGAGCTTGGTCCTCATTGCTGCCACTAAAGCCTAATTTATGCTTCTCCGTCTGCGTTGGGACGGAGACACACAACGCCATTATGCGTCCTTGCGAGCCTGCTGGAGAGCCCTCATAAGGACAGACAGAGTTGAGCTTTCCGTTCTAAACATCTATCCAACAAGACGGAGAACGCAAGCTTGTGACTGATTAGGATGCCGCTGTTGTCTACAGCGCCCCATTGCGCTCTCAAAAACATAAAGAGAGCCGAGGATATCTAGCAGCAGACATGGTGCAGCTTGAAGAATACCTCATGGAAAAACTAAAAATATGAACGTTTTATTCACCTGTGACTGGAGGAGTAAAAAGATATGCCACAAGCGTTTTATTCGTGAACGGAAATGACGGAAAACGTGGGTTTAGAGGTGGCGAGTGTACGAAGTGGTGGAGGAGAAGGAGGGACAATTTAGTCTGTTAAAAAGTCTGTTAAATACAAAAAACACAATATAAACACAACAGTAAATGAACTATGTTGGACCGGATACATGACAGGGTATCACAGAACAGCACTACGCCCTCTGTTGCCCTGGTGAGGGATTGCTTTGCAACACTTCCCAGGAGACAGAGAAGTCCAAGAGCAAAACGTCTCCGTCCATGCGTGCGTGTCTCTTCCTCGTGGAGCTGATGGAGAAGTATAAATTAGGCCTAAGTCAGGCTCGTTTCCGATGAAAGTTGACTCCTCCAAGGCTGACCTTCGTCACCGATTCTATTCATAGCTTTTATGGACAAGATTTCTAGATGCAGCCAAGATGGAGAGGGGATCCGTTTTGGTGGCCTAAGGATCGGGTCACAAATGGACTAACTGGAGGCAACAAAAAGGTTAAAATAAAATAACCTCCACTCAGCCAAATTAACGCTAATCAGGGAAACTCCTGTACACACAGTTAAACAAATAGGGATGAAACAAATCCCGGACGGGCCCCTATTTGTTACAAGGAAATTGTGAAGGGGATCAGATCGGAGCCATCTCCCCCACAGACTCCTTGTGTATTTTATTGGCTTTTAAAGGGTTTTAGGAAAGGAGCTCTGTTTTTCTAAAAGCTTCTTGCTCATAATTTTAAAACAGATGAGGAACCAGATTGGTGCTGCATTTCTCCCGGGTTTGGACAGTGGACCTTGTGTTTTAGTTTGAGGTCAGCTAGTTACCTGTTTTAAATGTGAACCCTGAACCATAGCGCTGAGTTTATTTAAGTTACTGTACCTTTTAGTAAGAATGGGACATGGTATTTTTTAGCTCCTTTTTTAATATAACAGTGTTTGAATATTACCATATATTACATCCTTGTCCTTCATTTTAACACCACTATAGGGCGTAACAAAGGACTAAACCATCTGTAATCTCTTTGTAAACACACATTTTTTTAATATAGTTTCTGCAGTTTATGTGGATTTTCTTAATAATTTATTAAGTCCTGCAGCTAAGATGAGACAAAGTGTTTTAAATTTGATAAATCTAAAATATGTTTGAACTCAGGCGTGTTCAGTCAGTCTGAAAACTGCACAGCAGTGCACTAATACCACCTTTGTCAAAAGGAATACTTTAATTTGAGATCTAGTAAATGCAGTTAAACACATACAGTTCTGCAAGAAGATAATTTGAAAACAGTGAGTGTTTTTGCTTAAGCGAGTTAGAGAGACTTTAGTCTCTTTAGACTTTAGAAACACTTTAGTTTAGGGAACCCAAATTAACCATTAATTAGCTGCCAATTAATATGCATATTAGTGGACTACTAAGTCTGAATTAGTCATCATTAAGATATTATTAGGTGCTTATTACCAATGATGTAATTCTAACATCAACAGGCCATGACTTAAGAGTTTTAGCAAAATAAGCCATTCATAATGGTTTGTTAACTGAA